AAAACAAGGTTGACCGACCTCAATAAAAAGCAGGATCAAAATGATTCGCTTAAGGACATGAAGCGCGTGTTCGTGGTAGTAGGTCCCGACCCTTCTGTCTGCGAGATGTTTAACCTCAAGGACGCACCAGACCCTGAGACGTTTCGTACGATAGCAGGTCAGTATCGCGCCAGGCCGGTAAAACCACAACGCGTGCGCTGTCGTCATGTTTCGCATCGTACTGGCCCGATGTTGCAAGAAAATGAAAAGGCTCGAGTTCGTTGTCCATTTTCCCGTCTTTTTGATCGTAACCATCAACGAGAACAAATGCTCCTTCAACTTGGCGCCGGATGGCGTTGATCTCATTCGGTGCGAGATTCGTTAGTCGTGCGTAACATCCCTGGCCATTAAAATACTCCACCGCGTTCTTAAGAAAACGTTTTTTCGAGCGACGTATGACAAGTACCCTCCTCTTCTTAATGCATGCCAGGGTAAAAGGCGATCAGCATAAGAAAGCAGGATTTCCCGACACCCGGCGAGCCCACAATCACAATGCGATCCTCATCGACGGTTTTCATGAGTTCCTTGATTACCTTCCAAAACACCACTTCTTCCCTCCGAACGAAATAGCAGGGAGGGAATTCGCCAAAATCCTCCAAAATTTGTGCAACGTAGGCGTCTCGACAATTGGGTTGTCACTCTATTGGATCATTGACAGACTGTCGAGTGTAAACTCGTCTTGATGAACAGACAGCTTCTCGAAGTGGGTAAATGTCTTAGGTCTATAGGCTGCCAATTCGGATTCCACTGATCTCAATCTCCTTACGAATTCATCAAATTCATCATTTGCTGGACGCTTTGACCCGACATTCGGGGGAGGAACCAAAAGCAGCACGTGCACATGACCCTTTTCAACGGCCGCTTCTTCTTCGGTCACTACGCCCAGTTCACGACTAGCCAGCCCAACGGCTCGAAGCTTCGCGTCCACGAACTGTAGAGGCGTGCAGCCATTAGTGTCCCTCACGCCTTCCAGCGCGTCAAGTTGTGTTAGCCACGCGCGGTTCGCCGTCCTCGCCAGGAAGAGCTGCAGCTTGTAGGCACACATCGGATTTTATACGGATTCTTCGCTGTGATCGCTTTCTTCAAGTCATCCACGGTTTTGCCGTCGCCAACTTCCACCGAGAACTCGCTTCCCGCCACACCAACAATGGCACAAAAGAGCTTCACCATCATTACTTGAGTCGGCGGATGGTGGAATGAAGAAGAGCTTCTACGCCAGGAATTCTCTTCTCCTTCTTCAAGAAGGAGAAGAGAATTTCTTTTTGAAAGGAGAAGAGAATACCTGGCGGAAATGAAGGCGTGTCACATACACTTTCAAATTTTCAAAACACGTACTAGTACCGGTATTTTAATTCTATTTTTTTTTTAAATAAGCCATTTATTCACACTTCCCTCCCAGAAAAAAAACAAAAGGAGGCAACAAGAAGACTACATGGATGAGTCCAAGGAGAAAGGATTTACGCGCCCTTGCACGGGCATCCGTTTGTCTATTTGACCTAGTGTCTTGGCGGCTTAAAAGTAACTTTACATCAATACAATGTTTTTTTTCTTGTCCCTAGAAAGTTAAATCCGATATATTCAACTTCAATTACTACCAGTACTACAAAAGCAACGTTTAAATTATCATCACCACAGTGTGGGCCAAATACCAGCTGTTGCGGTATTCTGACCGTCCACCGCAAATATATATGTGAAAATGTAATTTAAGTCATTACATCAGTACCTGAGGTGCCGTAGCCGTCGAAGCCAATACGTTGTCATGATAGCTGTAGCCTTTTGTTGGTTTAGCACTTGCTCGGCAGAAGGTAGAAGTGAAAGTGAGAAATATATTCAAAGGAGTTTTTAGTTGGATTCTCCATGCACACTACACAATAACCTGAAAAGACACGCGCCTACACTCGATCTGATTGGTCCCAATAGTGAAACCAAGTCAAAATGTCGTATTTTCAACATTGTCGACTCGACACTTGCGTAAAGGTCCTTGGGGGTCTGGCTTCCGGTCGCCCGCCCCTTGGCTGGCTCTTAAATCAATGTTCAACACTCCTTTTCAGAGCCTCGGGGTTCCTGAATCACTCGATGTCGACGAGTCCGATCTTCTCCCGTAGCCCCTTCACCCGTGGCGCTGGTAGCGCCTTCGTCGGCAGGGCGGCAAGCATTTCCGCGCTAGCCACATGCTCCGGCACCACGACGCCCTTCTTGGCGCAGTCTTGGATGAACTTGAGCTTGACGTCCACGTGTTTCTCCTTGGTCGAGCTTGTTTCGCTCTGCACTTGCACGATAGCCGCTTGGTTGTCCATCAGCATGGCCATAGGCAACTTGGTGGCGATATCCAGATCACCCAGTAGCTTCTTCAGCCCGAGAAGCTTCTGAGCACCCACTGTCGCAGCGACGTACTCCGCCCCGGTCGTCGGTAGTGCCACGGAGCTCTGCTTCTTGCACTGCCATGACACAGTCATTCCGTCACTTGGATGATTGCCGCACTCACAGACTTGCGGTCGCTCTTGTCGGCTGCAAAGTTGGCGTCCGTACGAGCGCAGTCGTAGTCGTAGCCTTTTAGCATTGCCGTCGCCAGGCATAT